TTGACTACGTAAATTGTGCCTGTCTGTCTTTTTTGTAAGAAAATAAATGCAATAAAATCAGTATTTAGAATTTTTTTGAATGTTCTTTGGAGATTGTTCTATGTTAAATAAACATTACCTAATTAAACAAGCTTGGCTCCCAAATTTTGTTTAAAAGAGTCATTAAAGCAGCAATCCAGATGGTAGTGAAAGAACTTTTCAATGCTTTTATAAAATTGAATCTACTTAAGCTTGATTGTCCTCACAGTACAATTTGAATGTTGCTCAGCAGTGAAGATTTCATGCTCTTTATGCCATTGAATGTGATGATCATTTTGTTGATGAACTACCAATCATATCTACAGAGCAAAAGTGTGCACACTAGATAAAGGGATAAATACATAAATCAAGAGAAAGTATTTCCTACTCTCACTTTCTTAATGACAAACATTTTAAAAGATGGAGAGTGAGGCCTTCTAGAATGCATTGTAAAAGCAAATATTAAACAAGTATGAATTCTGAAGGTGGAGAAAACCAGTGCAAAATTAGTGGCAGATATATAGACAGTGAGTTTAGTTGCTATACTGACTTGGGGTATTATACAAGCTGAAAAAATGATTATGCTTACTAGAGATATTTATTTATGCATGACATTGAACACTTGACTACTTTAAAACAGCTAATATCACTTAACTAAACCATAAACAGCTCCTATGTGTTTCCATTTTTCTTCTAGCTAGTTATGTATTAAGCCATTTCAACATGATAAAAATGGTGAGTATTAATACTCTGGTTCACTTGAAATAGCTGGATGGGAAGGTGAAAGTAGCACTTTGCTTTGAAAGTAAAAGTGAATTGTACTTGAATACAAATTAAACTGAGTCTTTTGTTTCCCTTTTTATTTGCAACTGACTTGACTAATCCCTACATATTTTTGACAAATTCTAGTTTACCAGTTAAGTCTGCACAGATGGGATATCCTAAGAACAGATCTTTAAGATAATTTGTTAAAAGCCTAGAGTTCTGCTGGTGAGAAATACTAGAGCCCTACAGCTTTTGTGAGAGTCAGTCCTGGACACATCTAGTGACTGCTTAGTTTTAATGTGAACAGCATGTTCCTCAGTTACTTCCTGTTGTATGTAAGCTTAGGAAAGCTTATTTGGTGTCCAGGTAATAACAGGTATGAAAGGTACAGTCTGTGTGCTAGCACTCATCTTTTCCAACCATTTCTTAGATTTCCTGCTCTTCTAGTGCACATCAAAGCGGAACTTCCATTTAACTTCTTTAAATTCCTTCAGAAGCCTTTTTCTTAAGTCGGTTAGAGCCTTGTCATTGAACAATGAACCCTGCTTAAACAGGACTGACCACAATGATTTCTACCTAAATATGAGACTGACAGTAGTACCCAGTACCATGCAAATGAGCAAAGTAATTCTGTGCCCATCCACTACTGTGTGCTGTTGACAGCTACTAAATACAACAACAAAGAAAGGCTTTTTATAGGCTGCTGTAAACTGCAATTTAGGGTTTTTAAAGTTGGATAGGACTTGATGAAACCAGTTTCATGAAAAGGTCTTGTGGAAAGACTTGCATTGCAAGAAGTAGGATTAAAAAATGGTAAATGGTAAAAGCTTTAAAAGTCATGAACTCTTTACCTCCATTACAATCAGTTTATCTCTAGAGAAAGTAGCTGACCTGCATAACTAGAGGATATAAAAATTAACTTAAACTTTGTTCCCATATGCAGACAGAAAAACATAGGCTTTTTTTATTCACTCACTATGTTTATAGGAAACTAATTTACAAGGATGAAAGAGGACATAGCCCTATGACTGTTCCTTATATCCACAACTAAGTTACTGCCTGCAGATACAATCTGATTTTGCCTTCATACCTTTCACAAATTCTGTATGGTTTATCCCTCAAGCCCTGACCCACTGGTTAAGGCCTCCTCAAACTTAAGAAATACAAATACTAACAATGTATACTTTTCCAAAGTCTGGTGTAATGTTTAAAATTACACATTTATTTGAGGAAAGACTGATACTTAGTTCACTTCTGGTTTGGGTTTTGAAATTTCTAAGTGTTACCTTTTGCTATGTTTATAGATCTGTGAAACTACAGGAATGCCAGAGAAGAGCTTAATTTTCTCTTCCCAATCAGATGAAAATAAATTCTCTGATTAAGGTATTTTCTAAATCAATGAAGAAGAATCTTTTGTGATTAAGTATAAGGTGTTTTATGTGGGTTTCCTAATGCATTTGGGATGATAGAGATGTAGAAAGGCTGGCCAGCTGTAAAACTTGTATTTATTCCTTGCCCTTGCCTGACAGAAATTGCAGTCAGCCTTAACAGTGCAATAATGTAGCTGGTGGTGGGATTGTGAGAATATTGTAGCAATGTAGAATTTACAGGGAACCCATACTTGCAATCAGGAGTATTTATTTTCCATGGTTTCTACTCTCAATTGAGAGCAAAGTTCTGTTATGCAGGAGCATTAAGGCATTTCATATATATATATATATATATATATATATATATATATGAAAAAGTTCTAAACAGAGCTTACTCATGCACACTTTTTTGGTCTGTATTGCTGTAAACAGAAGGATATACAGTTGAGGATGGGACCGCATACCCTAACAAACCAAAGTGTCCACTTGTAAGGCTTTTGACTGTTACAGGTCTAAGAAATCCAAAGCAATCAAACCACCAGTAGAATAAATATTTTCAAAGGAAAACAAAAGCCTAAATAGTAGCTGCAAAGTTATAGAATTGTGCTTCTCTACAGGTTTCAGTTCAATAACCTCTTAATTCACGAGCAGCTATGAAGGACAGCACAAGCTGTGCTGTCCAAGGCACATGCTGCTGGAGTTCAGGAGTGGCATCACTTCCTCAGGGGCCTTGCAAGAACTGCAAAGCTGGGTAATGAATCGCTTGTAGATTGTTGTTGGGTCTTTTTTGTAGAGCAGTCAGCTTTCTGTGCAGTACAAGTAGACTTGAATGTTGTCTACTTTATACAGTGCAGCTCCGTGTATTAAGAAGCTTTTCTGAAGGGGCATGAACTTTCAGTTATGAGTAATGCAGATGTTGCAGCTGGCCTTGTAAGTGTGCTCCTGCGGAGCATTAGCAACTTGGACTGGACAAAGAACAAGCCCGTGAGAACAGCCTTTTGCTCTGCACCTCCTGCTTCGTCGCCCTGCCCGAGCCCACGACCCCTTCCCGTTTCTCGGGTGGGTGCCCGCGCTTTCCGCGGCCGTGTGTCCTCAGCGCACGGGTTGCTGGCGGGGCCGCGGGGGCGGGCAGGCCCCCC